ATTTTGGAGGTTCAGGGGAGGTGTGGGGTGCACACCTGGGATTTGGGGTGCAGGGCTTAGTGTGGGGGTGCAGATCTTGGGCTCGGCTTAAGCGGCGAGGCCTGGGTGTTAGACCTGGGATTTGGGGGTGCAGGGGAGGCACGAGGAGCAGAAGTGGGACTTGGGCTGCAGGGAGGGATTTGGGGTGCAGGGAGTTATTTGGGGTGCAGGAAGGGATTTTTTGGGGGCAGCCCTGAGGGTGCGGGGTGGGGGGAGGGGAAGATTTGGGGTACAGGGGATGATTTGGGGGTGCAGGAGATGATTTGGGGCAGAGCCCTGGGGACACAGGGGGTGATTTGGGTCCCAGCCCTGGGGCTGCAGGTGGAAGATTTGGGGGTGCAGGGGGGGGCAATTTTGGGGCCCAGCCCTGGGGCTGGCCCGCCCCTCCCACTCGTCCCGCCCCGTCCAGGTGTCCCCACGTGGCAGGTCTGGCCCCGGGCCGGTGTCACCGCCGCTGTCCCCAGTTTCCAGTCCCTGCAGCTGGGCCACGTCAGAGCCCAACCCGCCCCTCCCTCTCCCCCTTCTGCCAGAAACACCCAAAAACCGCCCCCAAAACGATCCCCCCCGTGTCCTCCCCCCACCTTCCCGCAGGGACGGGGCCATGACGGAGGTGACCAAGCGCATCCTGGTCACGGGGGGCACCGGCCTGGTGGGCAAGGCCATCGAGAAGGTGGTGGCAGATGGGGAGGGGCGGCCGGACGAGCGCTGGATCTTCGTGTCCTCCCGGGACGCCGACCTGACGTGAGTCGGGATTCCCCCTCGGGATCTCCCCGCGAGCCGCTCTGCTGAACCCCGAAATTTCCCCATCCCAGGACTGAGTTTTTTCTTGTAAACACCCCAATCTGCCACTGAACCCCGAAATTTACCCATCCCAGGGTTGGGTTTTGCCTTGGAAATCCCCCAATCTGACACTGAACCCCAAAATATCACCATCCCAGGGTTGGGTTTTGCCTTGGAAACCCACCCCTATCTGCCACTGAACCCCAAAATTTCTCCTCCCAGGACTGAGTTTTTCATTGCAAGGGCCCCAATCTGCTCTGTTGACCCCACTGAATCCCAAAATATCCCATCCCAGCATACAGATTTTCCTTGGAATCGCCACAATCTGCTCTGTTGACCCCCTCCCCCCCCCAAAACCTCCAAATCTCCCATCCCAGGACTGGGTTTTTCCTTGCAATCCCCACAATCTGCTCTGTTGACCTCACTGAACCCCAAAGTTTCCCATCCCAGGATTGATTTTTTTTTTCTTGTAAACACCCCAATCTGCCATCGAACCCCCAAGGTTTCCCATCCCAGGATTGGGTTTTCCATTGGAACCCCCTCAGTGTGCCACAGACCCCTGAAATCTCTCCTCCCACGACTGACTTCTTCCTTGGAAAGGCCTCAATCTGCTCTGCTGTCCCCTAACAGAACCCCAAAACATCCCATCCCACAATTGGGTTTTTCCTTGAAAAAAGCCCAATCCGCCACCGAACGCCAAAATTTCCCATCCCAGGATTGGGTTTTTCCTTGGAAACGCCCCAAACCTGCTCTGTTGACCTCAGCGAATCCCAAAATCCCCCATTCCAGGAGCAGCTCCGAGACCAAGGCCCTGTTTGAGAGGCACAGGCCCACCCACGTCATCCACTTGGCCGCCATGGTCGGGGGCCTCTTCAAGAACATCCGCTCCAACCTGGATTTCTGGGTGAGCACATGGAAAACCGGCTCTGGGTGGATGGGGGGGGGGGTTCCCTGGGGATGTGGGGATGCAGGGATATGGGGGCTGGTCCTGCTTCCAGAGCCAAGAGCTCCAGGGGTTCCAGGAGTTGTTAACGAGTCGTCGCTCGGCGGGCGAAGGGATTTTGGGGAATGCCCATCCCACAGTCCCGACAAAACCCTCCTTTCCCAGAGGACCAACATCCACATCAACGACAACGTCCTGCACTCGGCCCACGAGATGGGGGTGGAGAAGGTGGTCTCCTGCCTCTCCACCTGCATCTTCCCGGACAAGACCACCTATCCCATCGACGAGACCATGGTGAGCGCTCCCATCCCCTCCCCGCGGCATTCCAGGGAATTCCCTGCCTGACTCTCCGCTCCCCCCTGTGTTCCCAGATCCACAACGGGCCCCCCCACAGCTCCAACTTCGGCTACTCCTACGCCAAGAGGATGATTGACATCCAGAATAGGTGAGGATGGGGACACACACACAGGAGACCCTTCCCAGGGTGGGAGCCCCCCTTGGTTATCGGGTGATGGGAATCCCCGTGGGAGGATGAGGAGGGTGGATGAGGAAGGAGGGTCGTGCAAAGCTGGCACAGGGTGTCCAGGGAAGTGTTCCGAGGTCAGGTTGGATGGGCCTTGCAGCAAATGGGATAGTGGGAGGTGTCTCCTTGCTCGGTGGTTGGGTGAGATGACCTGGAAGAGTCCCTTCCAACCCAACCCATTCCATGATTCTATGCCTGAAATCCATTCCCAGATCCCTACACCCATCCCGTGATCCTGTGACCAAAATCTGTCCCCAAATCCTCAAGACCATCCCATGATTTTACAACCAAAATCCAGTCCCAATCCCCAAACTCGCCCCATGGTTCTGGGAACAAAATCCATTCCCAAATCCCCAAACCCATCCCATGATGCTATGGCCAAAATCCAGTCCCATTCCCAATCCCATCCCATGACTCCATGACCAAAATCCATTCCCAAATCCATCCCATGATTCTGTGACCAAAATCTGTCCCCAAATCCTCAAGCCCATCCCATGATTTTACAACCAAAATCCATTCCCAATCCCCAAATCCATCCCGTGATTCTGACCAAAATTCCCAAATGCATCCCATGACTCCATGACCAAAATCCATCCCAAATCCCATCCCGTGATTTTTAGGACCAAAATCCATTCCCAGTCCCCCACAAACCCCAGGATTCTGCGACCAAAATTGACCAATCTGTGACCCGTGGGATTCCCGGGATTTAAACGGCGCCGGGGTGGAAGTTGGGGGGATACCTGGGATCAGCAGGTGGAGGTGCAGCTGGTTGGGCTCTTCTGGGGCCATCCCAGTCCTTGAGACCCCCATCCCTGCTCCCATCCAGGGGTTATTCGGAGCAGCACGGCCGGCGCTTCACCGCTGTCATCCCCACCAACGTCTTCGGGCCACACGACAACTTCAACATCGAGGACGGCCACGTCCTGCCAGGCCTCATCCACAAGGTCTACCTGGCCAAACGTGAGCCTGGCAGGACTCCTGGGGTTTGTTTTTTTTTTTGGGGGGGGAGAGGTTTCCTCCTCCCCACCTGCTCCTTGAGGTGGTGATGGACACGCTCCTTCCTCCTGCAGAGTCCGGCTCCGCCCTGACCGTGTGGGGAACGGGAAAGCCCAGGAGACAGTTCATCTACTCCCTGGTGTGTGGGGCTTTGGGGAGCTGGGAATGGGGCTGGAAAGGCTGGAATGAGACCCCAGAGGGGGCTGAGTCCTCTTGGTTTGTCCTGGGCCATCCTCAGGGTTGGGTTCCCTTGGGATGGGAGGGCAAGCGCAGAAAACAATTCATCTACTACTCCCTGGGGTGTGGGGCTTTGGGAAGCTGGGAATGGGGCTGGGAAGGCTGGAATGGGTCCCAGAGGGGGCTGAGCCTGCCTGGGCCATCCATGGGATTGGGTTCCCTTGGGATGAGAGGGCAAGCCCAGGAAACAATTCATCTACTACTCCCTGGGGTGTGGGGCTTTGGGAAGCTGGGAATGGGGCTGGCAGGGCTGGAATGGGTCCCAGAGGGGGCTGAGCCTACCTGGCTTGTCCTGGGTCGGGTTCCTCGGGATGGGAATGCTGGGAACAGCAATGACCCCCTCAAGGGTCACGTGCTCTCCCACAGGACCTGGCCCGGCTCTTCCTGTGGGTCCTGCGGGAATACGACGAGGTGGAGCCCATCATTTTGTCAGGTGAGCCCCCCCAGCCTCCCCTCCCACTCCATCCATCCCCTCTCCACGAGGGAACAGCCACGATCCCGCCCTTCTCCGCAGTGGGAGAAGAAGATGAGGTGTCCATCCGGGAGGCGGCAGAGGCCGTGGCCGAGGCCATGGATTTCAGGGGAGAGCTGGTTGTATCCTTCACCTGGGGGACATCCCGTGCTCCAGAGCATTCCACCAGGATGTGGAGGGGTGGGGGGGAAAACCAACCCCAGTTTTCCCTCCTTAATCCCTCCCGCCCCAGTTTGACCCCACCAAGGCCGACGGGCAGTTCAAGAAGACGGCCAGTAATGCCAAACTGCGGCGGTACCTGCCCGGCTTCCAGTTCACTCCCTTCAGGAAAGGTGAGCTCCTACCTCATCTGGGTGCTCCATCCTTCGGGATGAGGGACCAGGGTGGTGAAACGCTGGCTCAGGGTGTCGAGGGAAGTGTTCCGAGGTCAGGTTGGATGGGCCTCGGAGCAACTGGGATAGTGGGAGGTGTCTCCTCGCTCGGTGGTTGGGTGAGATGACCTGGAAGAGTTCCTTTCCAAACCCAACCCATTCCATGATTCTATGCCTGAAATCCATTCCCAAATCCCCAAATCAGTCCCATGATCCTGTGACCAAAATCTGTCCCCAAATCCTCAAGACCATCCCATGATTTTACAACCAAAATCCAGTCCCAATCCCCAAACTCGCCCCACGATTCTGGGAACAAAATCCATTCCCAAATCCCCAAACCCATCCCATGATGCTATGGCCAAAATTCAGTCCCATTCCCAATCCCATCCCGTGATTCCATGACCAAAATCCATTCCCAAATCCATCCCATGATTCTGTGGCCAAAATCTGTCCCCAAATCCTCAAGCCTATCCCATGATTTTACAACCAAAATCCATTCCTAATCCCCAAATCCATCCCATGATTCCATGACCAAAATCCATTCCCAAATCCCATCCCGTTATTTTAGGACCAAAATCC